TCCAAAGCCATAAGCCAGAATAAATCTTCCCTTCAATGACGGCAGGAATTTTGCCATGGCAGTGAGAAAAGCGGCTTCACAAATACAGAGAGATGTGTCTCAATAGAAAGGGCGGGAGTGGGTTTATGACTGTCATTCCAGCACCCAAGGGGCTGACACAGGAGGATGAAGGACTTCAGGTCATCCTCAGCTACATAGTGACTGTGGGCTAGCCTGGGCTACATGGGACCCTGGTTTGTCTGTTTTTTAAACAATGTGAACACAGGAGTGCAGAGAAAGTTTTTTTGGAGGCTGAAAAGCCAAGACTGGGAACCCGTCCCCTGCCAGTTGAGGGCATTAGGGTCTCGTGGCAATGGAGAATGAAGACGGAGAACCCAGAGTGGAGGGCCTTGACGTATACTCGCCTGCCACACAGCACTGGCCCTGGTGTCCCTCTGTGGTTTACATCTGGTGTGCCCCTAGGGCTGGAGAGATGGCTCAGAGGTTAAGAGCCCTGGCTGCTCTTCCAGAGGTCCCAAGTTTAACTGCCAGCAACCATATGGTGGTTCACAGCCACCTATAATGAGATCTGATGCCCTCATACGTGCTAACAAAAACACTGTATGCAAAATAAATAAATCTTAAAGAAAATCTTCCGTGCCCTTTGTGGCCCCTTGGAAGCTTGGTCATCTGGACTCAGAGGCAGGGCCTAGAGCAAGGGCATTGGGGTGCTAGCACTTGGAAGGAAGGTGTCTTAGGGTTCCTGTTGCTGTGACTGATAGAACACCATGACCAAAAGCAACTTGGGGAAGAAAGGGTTCATTTTAGCTTACCACTCCTGGCTCACACTCCATCATTGAGGGAAGCCAAGGCAGGGGCCTGGAGGCGGGATCTGAAGCAGAGGTCATGGAGCAATGCTACTTACCGGCTCGTTCCGCATTGGCTTACCCAGCCTGCGTTCTGTCCAGGGATGGCTCCAGCACAGTGGGCTGGGCCCTCCCACCTCAGTCATCAGTTAAGGAAATGCACCAACCACAGTCTTGCCCACAGTCTGATAGAGGCATTTTCCCAATTAAAGTTCCCACATCCCAAATGGCCCCAACTAGTGTGAAGCTGACATAGAGCTAGCCAGGCAAGAGAGATCACTAAGCACTGGTGGGGCCCACAAATGCTCCATCCACAAGGACAAGGCCAGCCCTGCCCATTCTCTGCTCGCAGTCTCTTCCAATGATCTCTTCCCTATGGGCCCTTCCACAGCGTTACTGGATGCCATGGGTGACCGTGGCTGCATTGCTTTGGACTGCAGGAAAACACCCCCACCTCTATTTTGGAACAGAGTCGCTCTATGTAGCCCAGGCTGGCCTCATAAGTGTGTGTGTGTGTGTGTGTGTGTGTGTGTGTGTGTGTGTGTGTGTGCAGTGCTCTTGGAAGCCAGAAGAGGGCGCCAGATTCCTGGAGCTGGAGTTACAGGGGGTTGTGAGCAGCCCAGAGCGAATGCTGGGAGCTGAACTTAGGTCCTTTGAAGGAACACCAAGCACTGTTACTGCTGAGCTATCTCTTAAACTCCGTTTCTTAATAACCACTCTTGGTTATTAAGGTCTTGTTACAGCAATGGAAAAAGAAATAAATACATGTCCAAATCTCTACCAGATCCCCTATGGCCATATCCTCTCCTGCTCTCAGGGCAGGGCCATGCTCTCTCCACTGTGCCCTGCACAAACATACTTCCTCCTCCAAAATATATCTGTTCAGACCCTCCACAGGGCATGTATGTGTGTTTCTGGGATCCAAACCCAGGGCCTTGAGCATGCTTGGTGGGTCTTGTTCATTCCTAACAAACCAACAATTGACCCCCAAAATGCCACAGACAAGGCAGTTTTGGGAAAACCCTGAGGGTCAGTGTTCTGCAAGTAACATATGGTGCTGTTGGGCTCTGGGTTGGCAACACATGGTAAAGATTGACCCTACTAAGGCTTTGGGGCTCAGGTGCTAATGTCTAGAACATTTCCCAGACAAATGGACTGTGAGTCCCTCCAAGTGCTTCTGAAGAAATCTCTCTGGAGCCTGAGGCTGACCACCTATGTGTTCTCATGTTTGTCAGTTGCCATCTTAAGCCAGCAGATGTAATGCTGCTGAATCCCTGCGCTGGGAAAGCTCAGGCAGGGTTGTCACATGTTCAAGGCCAGCCTGGTCCACATAGAGTACCAGACCGGTTATGGCTTCTTAGGGAGATCCTGCCCCAGCACCCCTACCCAAAAAAAGCTGGATGCAGTGGCAAGGCCCTTAATCCCAGGACTTGGGAGGCAGAGGCAGGTAGAGCTCTAGGAGTTCAAAACTAGCTTGATTTTCAGTGTTCCAGGACAGCCAGGACTACATAGTGAGATTTGGTCTCAAAAAGAAAAAAGCCCCAAAGGAAGAAAAAAAAAGCAAAAGTAAACTTAGAATTTTAAAAAGCAAAAAATTTAAAAGAAATTTAAAAAATCTTGAGAAACGACGTCTGTTGAGCACTCCTGCCACTCACTGAGCAGAGAGCCCCTTTTTGGTTTAAGCCTGAAGAGCTCTGAATTCTCCAGGGGCAGGACAGCAGTGCCCCCTGGTGGCCACCTGCACTGCCACAGAGATCAGCAGATGCAGAGGAAGAGGGGACCCTGAACAAGAGAAGCAGGAAGGGGTGCTGAGGGGCGGGTGCTTCAAGCTGTACTTACAGGGCGTGTCACTCCCTCCCTCTCTGTCCCACGAGGGTTTCTTTTCTATTGCCCCAAAGCAGGTGTGTTTATTGTTCTTGGAAATTGATGTCCATTTTTGCTCGAAATGACTCATTTTCTTTCTTCTTTCAAAGGTTTATTTTATGTATAAGGTGCTCTATTTACATATAGAGACTACATTTGGGAAGAGGGCACCAGATCTCATTACAGATGGCTGTGAGCCACCATGTGGGTGCTGGGAATTGAACTCAGGACCTCTGGAAGAGCAGCCAGCGCTCTTAACTGCTGAGCTGTCTCTCCAGCTAAAAAAAGTCTCTCACAAAGCAGTGAGAGCAGTCTCTCTCTTGTGGCTCCTGAAGACCCAGCCCCCCAGCCCCAGACAGGACTTCAGGTGAAAGGTAGTCCAACAAGGTCACATGACCCAACTGACCACTGGAAGCTGGGCCTCCTTGGGACTTTTTCCTCCCCTTTCTGGTGTCCTCATGCAAGGAACACTCCATCCCCCCTCCACCCTGCTGGGCACCCTGAACCTGGTCCACAACACACACCCTGGCTTACAAAGAAATGACGTGTGTTTCTGCTGGTTGTGGGAAGGCCTGCTTGGAAATGAAACTGACATAAAATAAAGGCGATCTGAGAGCTGCTGGATTGAGCAATGCCTAAAGTCAGATTCTCCTGGACACTTAACACCCTACCCCCCCCCCACTTCTCCCTCCTTTTTGTTTTTTTTTAAATAGGATCTATCTTTCTGTGTAGCCAAGGCTGGCCCGAAACTCACTATGTAGCCCAGGCTAGCCTTCAACTTGCGACAATCCTCCCAAGTGTTGGAATTACAGGAGTGAGCCACCACGGCTGGCTTAAATGCTTTCTCACATTGGGGGTCCCAATCCCATCCAGATTTGCCTTCAGTCCTGTCTGCTACTCTCAAAATGTCCACATTGGGGGCTGGAGAGATGGCTCAGGGGTTAAGAGCACTGGCCGCTCCTCCAGAGGTCCTGAGTTCAATTCCCAGCACCCACATGATGGCTCACAACCATCTGTAATGAGATCTGGTGCCCTCTTCTGGTGTGCAGGCAGACATGCAGGCAGAACACTGTATACATAATAAATAAAGCTTTAAAAAAAAATGTCCACATTGCTGCTCAAGTTTGTAAACTCAGAGACCCATTAATCAAAACCACCTTTATTAGTTAAAGAGTATCCCCATGGGGGTGCCCGGGAAGCAGCCCAAGAGGACAGAGTAATATATACATGGGGTGAGAGGCTGAGGCCGAGTGGCCCCAGGACTGAGTGGGCCGGCCACTGTGGAGGAGAGTCCTCGGACCTGTGGACTGAGTCTGTGAAGTCGGCTGCTTCGTGTGAGGCCCACTGTGGAGCCCACCATGCGGGGCTGGAGCTGTCAGCCAACTCCGGCTCTGGAGGCATGTGTGGTGCACAGCGGCAGAGGTGAGGCTGGGTCACGGTTGAGTCACCATGCCACTGGCTTCGGAGTGAGTCTAGGGAAAGAGCCATGGGCTTCCAAGGTCTCCCAACACTCTGCCCCTTCCCCAGAGGGGACCCACCTGTGCGCTAGAGTGCCCTCTGGTAGGCCCAAACACGTTTCCCTCAAACTTCTGCCTTCCTTAGTAAAGTCCCAGACAGCCCCACCCAATACCAACTCACCTTTATGGCCTGGAAGACCCACTCCCGAAAGTCAGTGACTTTGGTGTACACTCATGGCTTCTGGGCCAAAGCACAGCCCGTACCCCAGCTCACGATGCCACAGAGCCTCCATCTTGACGTCCCAGAGATGCCGTCCTCACACACAAAGGGGCCGCCGCTGTCTCCCTGGTGGGCGGGATGGGACACCTGGCTGGAGGCCACTGTGGCCTACTACCCTAGCCTGGCCCCTTCTCTATAGTGCTGGGCCCGGGGGCTGCCCCGCTGTGTCCCTCACCTGGCAAGCGTCAATGCCACCCTCAGGATAACCGGCACAGAACATCTTGGATTTGATCTGATTCCCGTAGAAGTCAGGGCTGTTACAGACCTCATTGCTTATGATGGGGACCCGGGCCTCTTGGAGCACCACAGCCTGCTGGCCTGAGGAGATGTGGGTATGGTGGCCAGAATTGGGAAACAAGCCCTCCCCTCCTAGTGCCCACCCTATGGCCTTTGGGTCCCTGTGAGAGTCGCCCACCCCCCCCCAACCCGGTAGCATCTTCAGGCCTAATGGTGTGGTTGGAAGGACCCAGAACTCACCGTAGAACTGCGTGTTGCCCCAGCCAGTCACAGTACAGACCTTCCCAAAGCCCAGGGCCTGTCCCGCAGCAGGGAGACACACCGGCTGGATGTATTCTGTAAGAGAGAACACACCAGTCCAGTCCCCACTAGTCAGTCTGTCCCTTGTGGGACGAAGCTATGTGGCCACCTCACCCTTCCACACAAACTCAGCGCACCCTATCGCTGCCACGATGGAGCCTTCATCATCCCCGGTTGTCCCAGGGAGCTGGGATTGACCTTTGCCTCAGGAGGGATGGGAGGCCAAGTCACCTGTCCAAAGTTCCATAGAAGCAGGTGGCATACTCAGAACCAGAGCCAAAGTTAGCTCAATTCCCCAAGTTTGGGCTCTTAACCATGGCCCCGGGACTATAACCAGCTCAGAAGCAGGAAACAGGAAAACACACCCTGCCCTTGAGACGCTTGGCTTCTTCCTGTCAGAAAACTGTCCTAATGAACACACAGGCCTCGGCTGACATTGGCTTCCCTAAGATGGAGGCTCCTTGTGCATCGCACAGCACACGTGGGCAGTCCTGGCAGCCCTCGCTGTTGCCATGTTGTTAACTCAGCCTCCCTCTGCTTCAGCACCTCGATACAAAATGCAATCATCATGCCCCAGCTGGAGTTACAGAGCTCAGTGGTGTACGCTTGCCTACAGTCCACAAGATCCCGGGGTCGCCCCCCTAGCACTGAATGAAAACAGAGCCAACACACAAAATTATTTCCCTGCAGAAACTGTGGTGAGAAATGGACGGGGTATTGAAAACAGGAAGTATTTATAAGGATAGTTCGGTTAAGAACACAACCAACAGCTCTAACAGAGGGACCACCCTGGAGGACTGGGGGAGAGTGAAGGAGTCCAGACTCAGGACACGCAGAGGCCCGTGCAAGCACACGGTCGGTCCCTTAGCAACAAGCAGACACTCTGAGAAATGTGTCCTCGGGTGAATTTTGTCATTGTGTGCGGATCCTAAGAGGCCCCTTCATGCAAAGTAAGATGACTCTGACGTCACAAGGCCACCTCATCTCATAGGACCAGTCTTAAAGATGCTCTGTCTGGGACCAAAATGATTTCATGCGACACAGAGCTGCACCCAAGGTCAGCGCATCGCTGCTCTTATTTATTTACTGTTATCTATGTAGTTATTGATTTGGGACCTTCTGAGAAAGGGCCTCTCAACACAGCCCAGGTTGGCCTCAGGCTCACAATCTTTCTTCCTCAACCTCCCCTCAGGGCTTAGAGGGCAGGCGTGTGTCACATCAGCTGGTTCTCCATACTTTTTTTTTTTAAAGATTTTTATTTATTATGTATACAGTCTTCTGCCTGCTTGCTAGCAGAGGGCACCAGATCTCATTTAAGGCGGTTGTGAGCCTCCATGTGGGTGCTGGGAATCGAACTCAGGACCTCTGGAAGAACAGTCAGTGCTCTTAACCTCTGAGCCATCTCTCCAGCCCCATCTCCATACTTATTCACAAAGGCATTGTATGAGTGTGTGTGTGTGTGTGTGTGTGTGTGTGTGTGTGTGTGCCTGTGGAGTCCAGCAGAGAGAGCTGGGAGTAGAGACAGTCGTAAGAAGCTGCACATGGGTGCTAGGAACCGAAGGCGGGCCCTCTGTAACAATAGCAAGTACCCGGCCAGGCGTTGGTGGCGCACGCCTTTAATCCCAGCACTCGGGAGGCAGAGGCAGGCGGATTACTA